GCTTAATATTTTGTATGCTTTTGTGGAACAGACTGAAAAGTACTGAGAAGTTACGAAGAACTTTGATTGCTTATCCTGAAGATAAATTTACTTGTTTAAACAAATGCAAACTATTGGCTAAAGTAGTTTATAATAATTGTTTAAAATTAATACATTAGATCTAATTATTCATAGGATGAGACACAAGAAGTTGCAGAATTTTCTTTCCCTACATTGATTCAAGAGGAGACTAAATTGGGAGAGTTATACAGAAAGACATGTGAAGTATTATTAGAGATTCACCAAATGAAGCAGAAAAATGATAGGTTGAAAGAATTAAAAGAAGAGTGGTTAGTTTAAGAATGAGTTATGTTTACTTTTATATTTTGATTTATATCAAAAAGTAACACTGACATAGAAGTAGAATTTTCAATTAGTCAGAGTGAATCATTTACAATTAAAAAAAGAAATGCACTTTGTATGTGCATTTGGCTTTGTTCATTTTATGAATATTATCTTAAAAAGGTATGTCTTCAAATGAAATATTTTAAATTATATTTTGTATAGATAAAATCAGAACATCTTGCAAGTGCTATACATTCTGAAATGGAAGACTATTTTTCAGAAGATTGTATTAGATTAATTATATGCTTTATGAATACACAAAATATTAAACCACAAAATGAGCAGGATTTACCATCAGATCCCAATGCTCCATTGTTTGAAGTTCAAGGACATAGGATAGTATCAACACAACGTCAAGGAGTTAGAATTGATCCAATATACAAGTTGTTTTTTCCTGATAAACAAGGTTAGACTGTCTAACAATGAATGAATTATGATACTATAACTAAACTAATTCATCTTAATTTAAACCTGCTTGAATGGAAGCGTGATTAGCATTGCAATAATTTTTAGATGATCAATCAAGACAAATATGTAATGCATTAGCATCTGTAACAGCTGCCATTTTAGCCTGTCCAGATTGGTCAAATCATCTTTGGTATCATTTATTTTCTCCTCACAAATTATCAGGCACTCAGGTCACGGGATTCCTAGTAAGCTGCATCAATATTATTCTTTGATGACAGTTTTATTGTTTATAGTTGGATTCAGCTATTAAAGAAGGAAGGTTATATGATTGTGGTGTAGTATTAGATGAAGAAGGAGAATATGGCAGACCAGAATACTTGCACAGAGCTGAAAAAGGAATGCTAACTTTGCACTCGCTTTATCTTCTTCTTTGGTGTAACTTTGGAACATTTTGTTTGAATTTATTGACTCAAGGAGATTCTAACATAAAAGTAACTGTAATATCATCATACCAAGCTGTTCGTCATTATTGCAAGTCTCAGTTAAGTTTAATGTGGTTACATATGACCACTAACATGGCACTAACTGATGATCAATTGTCTTTGCTAATTGTATGCTCCATGAAGAGAATGATTCAAGTATGATTGAGCTTATTTACTTGTAAAAATGTCTGCTCTGTACGAATAGATTTCATATCAAAGACCAATGGGATTGTTACATGATTTAGAAGAAAGGGATGCATATGAAAAAATGTGGCATGCTCAAATATTTGTTCCATCACTGAAAGAAGTTGAAGACAATGTAAGTATTAAAGTATTCTAATAATGATGATACTATTTAATAGTTTATGAGTTATTTGTCTAAATTGCAAGCTGATGACTTTGTGGCTAAATTAAACTTAAGGTTTAACAAATTATACCATTTCAAATACAATGCATATATTTTATTTATGTCCACAGAGAGCTTAGTTGTATTTATCCTCATGTGCCGACATTACAGCAGTTCACTCATTTTGTGCAAAGACACTGTGCTTCCTCTGAACATAGAGGGAAATATGATGTTTTAGTGAAACTAACAAATTCATATTCTCGTCTTCAGTCTTATAGTGCTTTATTACCATCTCTCATTGAATTCTATCAGTGGATTGTCACTGACTTGTCTCATGTTCTTACTCAAGAGGAAAGCACAAAAATTGGCATATGTAGTGCTGTGAGAGATGCTTCAGAAAAATATTCAAAAGATGTAGAATATCACTACACCAAATTATTTGAAGGAGTACAAAGTAGCGATTGATTTAGAAGTGATATTTATATTAATTTTTAGATGATTACAATGAATACTTGAAAGTGATAGACTTTTCAATTGGTGCTGGTGCTTGTGCCAATTTACAAAGAAAAAATGCAGTTCCATTGATGAATGATGCAGTGCCTGTTTTCAGATTTTTACCAGGAGTGACAAACGATGGGACAGAAGAAGAAAGAGACTTTCTATTTCTTGTAATTCAAGATATTGTAAGTATATTTAGATTTTTATTGCCATCCCCTAATTTTATTACTTCTGCATTAATTTTTGCTAAGATTGCTAGTTTCAAAGGAATTACTAACATGCACTAAGCATAAAATAAAGCATAGTTAGGAGTGCCAACACCCACCGTGTGGCACTCCTAACTATTGGCGCAGCGCCGCTTTTGTTTGGTAGCCGGCTCGAGCCGACTTCTATTGAAGAAATTTGACTGAACTATTTCTATTTATTTTAATAGGTTAATTTTCATAACAGCTTTTTAAGAGAGATAAATGAGCTGATCAAGCACAATGATACTCTGAAAAAGTATTTGTCTAAACTTCCAAATGAAGAGAATGCAGAGTTTATTGTGATGCCTCATGTACATCCATTAGCTGTCAATGAATATTCTTGTATTTTAGGCCAAAATGTGTCAAACAGAAGGTATAAAAATAATATAGTCATTACTGTATTTGCCCATTTAATTCAGGTCACTGTTAGAACTAGTACATAAACATCAAACTGAAACTGGATATGATTTAGATAAAATACAAGAAGAAATTGTGGCACATTTTATTGCTGGAAAACTCCCAATTGATAATTGCCAAACTAAACTCAAAATGCAGTTTCACTATAAGTTAATACACACTGACAAAAGCAAAATGGAACATCCAACTGAGTAAGTTTCATAATGACTTTATATATTCCTTTATTTATCTATATAGATTAATGCTCACACTTGACCAACTAAATGATGAACATATGAAAGTAAAACTGAAATGTATTTGTTTTATGTTTTAAAATTAAACTTGTCACTTAGATATTAATACCTCCAGATGAAGACTTTTTGATAGCTTTGAAGTATGAGTTATACACTCTTGATTATGATAAACTTGTAGAAGTGGCTCATTGTCTAAAAACAATTGCAGAACACATTATACAAGTATGATTTACTTAATCATCAATTATTGTATCTGTACTTATTTAACAGAAAATTAATGAGGGTCAAATTCTTAAAAATGACATTCTTGATCAGAATGTGGGAGATGTTTTACCAAAAATTGTTTATGATCAAGAAACTCAACATGACTCATTGAAGGTTTTTGATGACCTTGGAATGGACAAGTAAATGTGTCATCAAATGAATTACATTTATCCCAGTCTAGGCTTCAAAATACACACCGTTTGCGCATTGCAGCCATACCTATAAAGCATTTATTGACAACATTGCAAGTTATTGTAGAATGGATTAAAGATGGAATATATGATTTTCATACTTTACCAAAAGCAATGAAAGTGCCATTAGAAGATGAAGAAAAAATATTTGCTATTCAGAAAAATTACAAGCAAAGTATTGCTATTATTATTATTCTTTTAGGATTTCTTCCTCTTTAGATCACATTGATGAACTATCAGAGAAATTGAAAAGTATTGTTGCTGTTTTGACAGACTGTGAACAAGATCTTATAAAAAAGATTGATGAAGAGGTAGTGTGTTTCGAAATAGTAGAGTGATGGCTACATTTTTTATTTATAGCCTGAAATATCAATATTTCAATATTTAAGAAATTTGTCACTTGTTACTGATGACGATGAAAATCTTATTAAGCTATTTCCAAAACATATAAAACCCAGACACTACATGGCATTACGAATATGCTTAAGAAAGTAATTACAAGTAGATTAAGATATGACATTTTAATTGTATCAATAAATTTATATGTACATGTAGAGTTATTATTTGCATTGAAGAAGAACGACTTGACGAAGGCTTGCATAAGAACAAGTGGTCTGAATATGTTGAGGACCTATGGTCAGAAGAAAAACTAGAACACCTTAGAGAAATGGCAACTGTATTTGATTACACTCAAGTTTATGATCCAGTGAAAGGTGTATATGGCTTTGATGATGACGAAATCATAGCAGATGAAAGCATTATGACTGAAGAAGATGATAGCATGCCTACAGGGCCACAAGATTCTCCAAATTTAAGCAGACCTGAGACTGTTAGTGAAGAAGCTCCATCTGCAGCTCAAACTGGTGATCTTGACCTTAGTGCTGCAGCTGAAAAAGTTTCTTCTACAGATGTATCGGACTATCTTCGCTCGCTGAAATTAGATCAATACATTGAGGAGTTTATGGAGAATGACATTGATGGTATTGCATTGTTTTATATTGATGATGAAATACTAGAATCACTGGGTGTGGACACAAAGAAAGACAAGATTAAGATAAAGACCCGGTTTAAGCAATGGCTAAAAAAGTTTTTGTAGTGTAGTTTAAATCCTAACTTAGTTGACTTATTAGATTTAATTGTCCATATTATAGTGTTTTAGATTTGATAGAAACTATTTTTTTGCTGATTAGCTGATACTGTTACATTTATATAGCTACTTTTTTGCTGATTGTAAAAGTATTATTTTGCACTAATACATAAATAATTGATGTC